TTTTTTCAACGATACGTCAAATGACTACATTTCGTATCTAGTTGAAGATATTACCCTCAAAAGTAAAAAAAAAAAATTCTAATTTATCAATTAAACAGTTAGTTATTACATGTTCTCCATAAAGACAATTAATATCATTCATTTTTAATGTTTTCAAAATATTTATTAACGAATGAAGTTTGATGTGATAGGTTTCAACTACAAAATTAAATCATTTTACTTTGTAATTTAATAATTTTTTTCTCTATTTGTTTGTGCTACTACTAGACTATAATATTACAAACTTTTTTGTAACATGTTGCTATAAAAATCATTTCTAAAAAAAATGATTGCTAGTTTCTTCTGAATTAATAATGGATTTTTACAATTATAATCAAATTTTATAGTACGCTATTGAGTAGATCTTTTTAACAACTTTGTTTTGATTTAAAGTTAAAGTAAATCATTAAAATTAATTAAGTTCTCAATATTTCAATTGTAGAATCTTTTCAAACAACAAAAGTTACTAGGAAATTAACACTATTACTCCTATTTAAGTTATCTATTACCATAAAAATGCAAAAAAATATTGAGCTTTTCTGATAAATTTACAATAAATAGTAATTATAAAACTTTCTGACTGCATATTGATCTTAACGATACAATTTTTTTAATTGTCATAAAATTTTCTATTTAATTATGTCAAACTTACCAATTGAGCTAAAAGTTATAGTAAAATAATTTTTTTTTTTTTTATTATAAACATTTACAACAATCAACTTTAAACGATTAAATAAATAGATTAAATATGTCATTTTCCTTATTTTTATTTTTTTTGTTCTTACTTATTTTTTTTTATATGTAAATACTATTTTTTAATAATATTAAAACTTAGAAGTGATAGAAAAAGTCTAATTGCACATTTGAAAACATCGCGAAAAGTTGATTTAGAATAGTATATTTTTGTTTCTGATGAAAGTTCCTTGATAAAGATTTATGAAATTTTAAAGTAAAAAAAATTGAATATATTACCATAACTTTTAATTCAATTACAAGTTTAAAATTGACATCTAGGCCAGTCAACAAAGGAAAAATTGCGGAAAAAATTCCCAACCAAATTTTGTTTTTTTTTAAAGTTGAATTAAGATATGTATAATGACATACTAAAACTCCTCATCGATTGGACTTGAGCTTTTTTTTTTTACAGCCTCGCAAAAGTTCAAAAATATGAGCTTTTTTAATTTTCTCAAAAAATATTTAACTTACAAAAAAAAGTTTCGTACAAAAGTTGTTTAAAAGACAATTATAAACAAAAAAATTATCTTATATTTTTTTATTTAAACAAATATTTTTCGGGTTACATTACATTTAATATGAGTACTAGAATTTATATTCCATTTTTTTCATTTTACGGTTACTTTTTATCATGTTATACTTACATTAGACACAATGTTATAAATGCTAATGTGTGTATGTGTGAGTTTATTTATTTATTGTATCTTTAAAGTGTAGTGTATATTAATATAGAAGCGATAGAGTAAGTAATTGATTTGACCCTATATTGTTTATACCCAACTAAACGCTAAATTGTACATTCCCAAACAACAATCATATTATGTCAATTGCCACCGGAATTTCTGGTAATCTTTTTCTTTTTCTTTGCCTTTACCCCAACTAGTGCTGAGCATTATATTGACCAATCCGGATTACGGATTACAATTATTTAATCCGGATTTCGGATTCAATCCGTTGACTCGGATTTCGGAAATAAGTAGTATATTGTTTTTTTAGTTTTGAAAATTTTTAACCAAAATTGTTAATATTTCTTTCACATAATGCTAATTTATAATTATTGTAATTTAGCATTATGTGAAAGAAATATTAACCATTTGGCTGTTTCACCAGCCAGACAATTTCTTTTAGAAGTTATAATATTCCCCGCTGTAGAAAAAGCTCTCTCTGAGGNCCCTCTTATATGCTCGCCCCTTATCCTATCTTCTCTAGTCACTCAACTCATCCAACTAAGCATTCTCATCTATGCTACACTTATTCTCTGCTCTACTTTTTTATCAACCGCCCAACACTATGAACCATACATCATAGCTGACCTCACAATTTCATAGTAAATTTAAAAACTATAATTAGTATTTATTCATATATTATATTTTAAAATAAAAGAACTACTAATCAGGATATAATTAAAGAAATAAGAGTTGATGTTACTTTTGGAATAATCCACCAATTTCTCTAAATGGAACACTATCTACAGATTTGCATCGAAGCGTTTCTTATGATAGNCCTACGGATTTGCATCGAAGCGTTTCTTATGATAGTGATTTTAATCACTGTCAGATATTATCTATACTTGTCCCATCTATGCCTCGTCCACACTGTGCCTCGACCCCACTGTGCTACCGTTTTTTNGTCCCACTGTGCTACCGTTTTTTTTTTAGATTTGTGTGTTATATAGCATCATGTTATCAAATAACTTGGAATATTATAGACTATTAGTAACACACGCAAATAGAGTTAAAAAATTGTTTACTTTTGCAGTTGAATACTTTTATCATATCAAATCTAATTCTACAATAAATACATTATAAATATTAGAAATCAATCATTTTAATTGTTTGTATGGATAAAGCTGTTTAAGGTACTATTTATTTATTAAGGGATTTTTTTTCAATGTTTAGGGTAATATCTTCAACTAATTACGAATTGTAATCATTTGACATATCGTTGAAAAAAGTAAGTTAATTGAGGGTTCGAAAAATAAATGGCAGCCACAAAAAGAAACACCTAGTAAAATAATATTAACATGAATAAGAAATTTCTTCTCATGAGGGAAGACTACAGTGATATGGGATCATTAATATTTATTGAAATTAATGAATCTAAATGAGATAAAAATCAAAAATTGAAAAAGCTTAAATTGTGTGCAAAAATTGTTTTTTTAAATTTCCCCAGGGAGCAGGTTAAGAGTCAGATTTTTAAAAAATTTATATTAAATAAAAGGGGAACATCTAAGGTTTCAATATAAAAAAAATGATGTTGATTCGATTATTTTTCAAAAAGTTATGGCAGTTTTAAGTACCAAAATAACATTAATTTTTTGTTCAATTTTAACGGTTATTTGCACATAGAAGATAAGTCAAGACAAATTTTTTTTTAACTTAAAGGACATAATGTAAGCTTTAATTTAACATATGTTAAAAGGACGCAGTATTTCCGGAACATTTTCAAAAGTTGAGTTGAAAAAGTTGAGTTTTGTAGAAAAGTTGCTATTTTAAATCCCCTCCTGTTACCAGGTTAAGTGTTAGATTTTCAAAAAAATTATATCAAATGAAAGTAAAATATCTAAAGTTTCAATATAAAAAAAAGTTATGTTGTTAATCCATTTTTGAAAAAGTTGTGGTAGTTTTAAGAAAGAAAAGTGAAAAAAATAAAAAATTACCGATTTATATAATCATAATTTTTTTAGAGATTTCCCACATTTACGAGGAATGAGGGAATTTTTTCAATTTTTAAGGATAATGTCTTAAACTAGATACGATTTGCGATCTTTTGACATATTGTTCATCCAAATCGGTCTGGTGAGAGCTGAAAACAAGTGGTAACAGACAAAAAAAACCCAGCACAGGGGGGTCGCGGCACAGTGGTGACGTGGCATAGTTGGATCAAGTATAATGATATCTGACAGTGATTAAAATCACTATCAAAAAAAAACGCTTCGATGCAAATCTTTAGATAGTGTTTAATTTTAAAAAATTGGTGGATTATTCCAAAAGCTTCATAAACTGCTAGTTCCTTATTAATATCCTGATTAAGA